AGGTTTAGTCAATAGCTTTTCTTTAGAACATACCTACCCTGGAGCATACCTCTAGCCACCGCACTCCAAGCCACAAAAACAAGTTTGTAATAATGCCAAAAAATCACGGTGTGCCCTAGACAAAAAAAACTCAAGGCATGTGCGTGATGCTTCTCTAGTTAAGGATTTCGGGTTCAGGGTGTGGAAGTAGAAGGACCGGAGGTGTAGGGGTGCGGGGTTTAGGGGTCCAGACCAGCCTTCCCCTCTAGAAAACTGTTCCTTCTCAATCCACTATCCCTGATACTTCTGCATATTTCAATATACCCTATGTTGTTCCTTTACACCACCTGATGCCCTCCGACAAGCGCCCCCTCTCAAACTACAGTACCTTATCTAATTAAGTTAGAAAATCGCTGCAAGGCTACAAGAGCCCCTCCAGTTCTGCAACCTACCAAACTACCGACAGTACATGTTCCTGCCCTCAATGCATTCTTCTACGCCTCAGAGCCGTGCAGGCAAGGCGCAGGCGTAGGCGTAGGCGTAGGCGAGGGCCCCAGCGAAGGCGAAGGCCACATTGAGACCTCGAAACCCAAGCCGCTTTATGACAGGACGCCTACTCCCAATGCGATGCAAAGCGGAATGATTTTAACAATCTGTCTCGAAGCTCTCACTTGCCAGACTTCTAGGGGCGGCAGTCTACTGGCCGTCTACCAGCTGTAAAGAATCGCACATATACCAGATGAGACATACGCATGGATGCCAAAGATGCAGCTGCGCAGCTAGCACTCTTGAGCGCATGAGGAAGAATGATTCGAGACCCCGAGGCCTCTCCCCAGTCTTCAATGTAAGGAAAGCTAGACCCAGCGAGCAACCGAGCATGAGCCAACGACCAGGCAGGTTCAGGCTGTACGCTAGCTTCGGGGTGAGGGCGACCCGAAGTACCCCAAAACCTAAGCTCCTCAACTCGAGAACCCTGGTGACTTACAAGCAGGATGTTGTGGACGGCTGACAGCACCTATCAGAGAAACTGTGCGGGCTACGGGAGAGCGAAGAGTGATGTGAAAAATGCTGGATGTCTCCAAGTAGACGACAAACAGCTTTTACAATTTTACATGTCCCACAGACTCTTGCATCCCTCTGCCAGGCAACCGCCTCGATGCGTCCAGACGCTGGCACACTGCCCTCCTGCAGATGAAGCAACCGCATGTGTGGAGACTTCTCAACAGGGCTTGCACTAAAACTAGCAGGGTGCGAAATTTGAATTATCAAGGACTGTGTTGGGCTGTACTGTCACTTGAACTATCCAGTATAATCAAGAATCATCCAGGGAGAGTGGTTGCTCAACCTTGAGACTTAGGGCCAAGGTCTTGAGGTTAAATTTATATCTTTAATTTAGAACAGACCCCTGGAACACACCTCTAGCCACCGCACCCCAAGCCATAGAAAGATTTTGCAATTTTGACAAACAAATCTCACGGCGTGGGCATGTGCGTGATGCTTCTCTACTTGCTGGCAGTCTGGTGATCGCTTCTTCCAAAACTTGGAACGTGGACAATCAAAATCGGGTTTGTGGTTCCAGGGTTTCGCCACGCGCACAGCAGTGCTGGTTCCTTCAGGCTTCATTGAAGGCGAGACGCCTTTGAGACGCAATATGGGCCTGCGTTGCAAGGGGTTGGCAGCCCCATGCTCTACATTTAACATAATTTTATTGTGTTCTGACGCAGAAATTCAGGGTATGTTCAAGACCCCGTTGTGGGCCTCTGGGCTGATAGGGCCTCTGGGCTGATAGGGCCTCTGGGCTGATAGGGCCTCTGGGCTGATAGGGCCTCCGAGAGGCCTGTCCAGCCCAGAGCATCAAGTCAGGGCTGCCGGGCGTTTCAAGGTGTTTGTGGGGGAGCTGATGGCGCTGTGTTGCGTGCTTTCGGGGAAAGCGGTCTTCAGCTTGGTCGGTGGCGAGTTGTCAGTGGCTTTCTAATGTTGTCTTAGTGCATCTCGGGACCGCGCAGCAAAAGGAAAAACCAAATATGCTGCCTTTGTGTGTTTTTCAATGCTGGCTCTGGGGTATGTTATGTTCTCAACGCTTTTGATCTAGGGTTTATGGAACCCGGTCCTCTTTGGGGCATGCAAAGCGAGGAGTCCAAACTGGACTCCGGGATTTTGGGATGTCCAAAAGCAGGAGTCCAGCCTGGACTCTGGGATTTGGGACGTCTGCAAAGCCAGCAGTTCAGACTGGACTCTGTCCACTCTCCTCAAATCCGAGAGACCAGACCGGACGTGGGCTTTGACATGCCCCAACCCAGGAGTCAACTCGTGAATCGCGATTCTGATCTGGCTACCTCGAGGATTAGCAGTCACCATTCAAGATATTCTCATTCATGCCTACCCTGCGGTAGCAACCAGGCTTTCAGACTGGGCTCGTGAAACTGTTGCCTCCCATGCCCACGCCATCTTTATAACCTGGACGCCTTCGTGATTTTCCCGCGAGAACCAGAGTATTCCGCAAAGATTGCTTGTTAATCTGCACTATTCATGTGCAATCATTTTTCATCCAACTCTTTCTGGAAATAAAGCCATGCATGGGGCCACGGTCGGCCACGGCAAAAAACACGGCTTCGGGGTTTGGATAAGGGGTCAGGTCTACAGGTTAAGGGCTTAAGGGTTTAAGGTTGGAAGGATTTACGTAGGATTAGGGGCTTGAAAAGCTTGGGGGGTTCAGAGTCTAGTGGGTTGGGGGGGTTTGTGGTTTGAAGGCTTAGGTTTCCAGGTCTGGGGTTGGGGGTTAAGGGTTCGGGGTTCAGGGTGTAGAAGCAAAAGGACCGGAGCTTAGGGGCTGATACTTCTGCATATTTCAGTATACCCTATGTTGTTCCTTTACACCCTTGAGGCCCTCCGACTGGCGCCCCCTTTCAACCTACATTACCTTATCTAATTAAAAATCGCTACAAGAGCCCCTCCAGTTCCGCAACCTCCCAAACTACCGACAGTACATGTTCCTGCCCTCAATGCATTCTTCTACGCCTCAGAGCCGTGCAGGCAAGGCGCAGGCGTAGGCGTAGGCGTAGGCGAGGGCGCCAGCGAAGGCGAAGGCCACATTGAGACCTCGAAACTCAAGCCGCTTTACTGACAGGATGCCTACTCCCAATGCGATGCAAAGCGGAATGATTTCAACAATCTGTCTCGAAGCTCTCACTTGCCAGACTTCTAGGTGCGGCAGTCTACTGGCCGTCTACCAGCTGTAAAGAATCGCACATATACCAGATGAGACATACGCATGGATGCCAAAGATGAAGCTGCGCAGCTAGCACTCTTGAGCGCATGAGGAAGAATGATTCGAGACCCCGAGGCCTCTCCCCAGTCTTCAATGTAAGGAAAGCTAGACCCAGCGAGCAACCGAGCATGAGCCAACGACCAGGCAGGTTCAGGCTAAACCTAAGCCCCTCAACTCGAGAACCCTGGTGACTTACAAGCAGGATGTTGTGACCGATGCTGAGACGGCTGACAGCACCTATCAGAGAAACTGTGCGGGCTACGGGAGTGCGAAGAGTTATGTGAAAAGTGCTGACAGCCTCGGTGCGTCGAGACGCTGGCACAGTGACGTCCTGGTGTAGCAGCTGCTTGTGTGGAGCCAATTAAAACTAAGGGGTGCTAAAATTGAATTGTCGAGGATTTTGTTGGGTTTTATTCACTATATTGTCAATTGAACTGTCCAGTATAATCAAAGAATCATCCAGGGAGGGTGCTATGCGAGTTGTTCAACGTTGAGACTTAGGGCTAAGGTCTCAAGGTTTAGTCAAGAGCTTTTATTTAAAACATACCCCTGGAGAATACCTCTAGCCACCGCACTCCAAGCCACAAAAAGATTATGTAATAACGACAACAAATCACGGTGTAGTGTAGGGCCTCCGAGGGGCCTGCCCAGCCCAGAGCATCAAGTCAGGGCTGCGGGTGTTTATGGGGGAGCTGATGGCGCTGTGTTGCGTGCTTTCGGGGAAAGCAGTCTTCAGTTTGGTCGGTGGCGAGTTGTCAGTGGCTTTCTAATGTTGTCTTATTGCATCTCGAGACCGCGCAGCAAAAGGAAAAAAAACAAACATGCTGCCTTTGTGGTCTGTTAATGCTGGCTTTGGGGTATGTCATGTTCTCAACGCTTTTGAATTAGGGTTTATGGAACCCGGTCTTCTTTGGGGCATGCAAAGCGAGGGGTCCAAACTGGACTCCGGGATTTTGGGATCAGCAGGAGTCCAGCCTGGACTCTAGACTCAACTCTTGGCTTTGCCCACTTACTCTCTGCTCAGCTTTTGGGCAACCCAAAAATCCAGGAGACCAGACCGGACGTGGGCTTTGAGATGCCCCAAACCAGGAGTCAACTCGCGAATGGCGAGGTTTCGTTCTGATCTGCCTACCTCTAGGATTACCTGTCACCATTCAAGATAGTCTTATTCATGCCTAACCCTGTTTAAACCAGGCTTTCAGACTGGGCTCGTGAAACTGTTTTCTCCCATGCCCACGCAATCCTTAAAATGTGGACACCTTCATGATTTTCCGGCGAAAAACAGAGTATTCCTCAAATATTGCTTGCTGCTCTGCACTATTCATGTGCAATCATTTTTCACCAAGTCTTTCGGAAATGAAGCCACACATGGGGCCACGGTAAACAATACATGGATTACGGCTTCGGGTTTTGGTTGATAAGTCAGGTTTATAGGTTAAGGCTTAAGGGCTTAACGGTTTAAGGTTGGAAGGATTTATGTAGGGCTTCGGGGCTTTAACAGCTTGGGGGGTTCAGAGTCTAGCGGGTTGGGGGGACTTAGTGGTTTAAAAAGTTTAGGATTTGTTTGGGCGGGTCCAGGTTTGGGGGCGGGGGTCAAGTTTTCGGGGTTTCGGGTGTGGAAGTAAAAGGATCGGAGGTTTGGGGGTACGGAGTTTAGGGACTCCAGCCTAGACTTCCCCTCTAGAAAACCGTTCCCTTTGAATCCACTATCCCTGATACTTCTGCATGTTTCAATATACCCTGTGTTGTTCCATTACACTTGACGCTCTCCGGTTGGCGCCCCCTTGAAAAACTGTACCTAGTGCAATCAAGTTAGAATCGCTGCAAGGCTACAAGAGCCCCTCTAGTTCTGCAACCCAAACTACCGACAGTACATGTTCCTGCCCTCAATGCAGTCTTCTGCGCCTCAGAGCAGTGCAGGCAAGGCGCAGGCGAGGGCGCAGGCAAGGGCGCCGGCGAGGGCGCCGGCGAAGGCGCCGGCGAAGGCGAAGGCCACGCTGAGACCTCGAAACTCAAGCCGCTTTAAGCTCTACACCGCTTTGCCACCGGCTTTACTGTGACAGCAACTCAATTCAGGGCTTAAGGCTCATGGTCTAAAGCTTGGTTGGTTTGTGACACCCTTGCAGCGCACGACAGAATCCTCAACCAGTTCTGGAAGCTGAAAAGAAGCATCAGCTGACTCTCAACGGGAGGGAGCTGCAAACATGAAGGACGCACTTAAGGACGTCCCCCCCCCTCCCACCCGTCCCAGACCGCCCTTCCACTGTCCCGCCTGAAGGTCTTCAGGGAGCACCCATGCCTCCTTCTCGTCAGCATCGCGTAGCAGCAGTCGGACCCTCTTCATTCCGTCTTCAGCTGTCTGCAGAACATCCACTGCTGTGTTCAGTGGTACTTCGAGGCGGTAAGCCGCTTGCTGCGTGAGGCGGAGACGAGTCGCCTGCCAGTCCAAAAATGAAGACAGAAAAAGCGCAGAATCTGGCCCTACCCCACAGAAAATATGCACGAAAGAGTTTAGGGTTTCGGGTCTGAAGGGTTGAGGGCCAACCGTGCAGACACAAGCTCGTGGCTAGCGACTGAGGCCAACGCTGTCGCTTCGGGCCCCTGCTCCTCCTCAAGAGAACAGTGTCACAAGAAGACACCCCTGAAAAACCTACACCTTATTCCGGAACCCTCTCAGAATGTGCCCAAAGCAAGACACTTGCGTTGAATTGCAAGGTATCGAACAATTCGCAAGACAGCAGCTCAGATCTTGAACTTCCGTGAACCGCGTTTATTCTTGAATCCGAGGGCTCCCTTCCAATAAACAGATGCAAGGTTTTTGAGCGCAAGGAGGCCTCTTCTAAAGCATACTCGCTGCACATATTCTGAAACTCTAAAACTGATGGATCCGTGTGTGTGTGTGTGTGTGTGCATCAGTGTGTGTGTGTGTGTGTGTGTGTGTGCATCAGTGTGTGTGTGTGTGTGCACCAGTGTGTGTGTGTGCATCAGTGTGTGTGTGTGTGTGTGCATCAGTGTGTGTGTGCATTAGTGTGTGTGTGTGTGTGCGTGCATCAGTGTGTGTGTGTGTGCATTTGTGTGTGTGTGCGTGCATCAGTGTGTGTGTGTGTGTGTGTGTGTGCATCAGTGTGTGTGTGTGTGCATCAGTGTGTGTGTGTGTGTGTGTGTGCATCAGTGTGTGTGTGTGCTAAGAGTGTGTGTGTGGTGTGTGTGTGTGGTGTGTGTGTGTGGTGTGTGTGTGCGTGTGTGTGTGTGTGTGTGTGTGTGTGTGTGTGTGTGTGTGTGTGTGTGTGTGTGTG